AAAGTTACTCCTTCTTTCTTTGCGTGAACATTTGGGCGGCGTTATGCAAATCTTCCCACATAGTGACGTAGACATGATGTGGGGGCGTGTTTAAACAAGGCGTTTTAGGAGGGCGTGGTTGACTCTTAACTTTTATAAGGAATATCTCTTTGGGTTTGAGACTTTAGTTTTTGCAACTTTAGGGATCTTATCTATTCACGAACAGCTTGTAACACTCCAAAGAGTGAAAACTTGAAATCGCATCATATGACCCCTTTAAATGATCCTAGCGCTCTATGCTTTCGTCTTTTTACAAAATGCAGTTTCTCATGTAATATGTGATGTTTAGTGCTTTTTAAGACCCAAACTTTTTCTAAAAGTTGTCAAATAAAGGAACAATGTTGAATGTTTGAATGCAGGTCTAACAGTTAAATGTGTTAAAAGCCCCAGTAAAACATCCTGCTGGGAATAGAATAAAACAAAACAACATTTTTGGAAAATAAGGCCTTACGATTTTTTTTCATGATTCTTAATTTATAAAAACTTAAAAAACTAAATGTTCATACTCGTTACAATACTAAGAAACTGGAAGGGAATTACTGTAATATTTTATTTTATATATCCTGTACATTTTTGACCTCAACATTTTTGGCAAGTTTAATGAGATCCAGCCCTTCATTTCTTTATTCTTCTTTTAAACACCAGTTTCAGTTCAAATAAAGGCCCGATCTTGTGTTTTCTCTTCCCGTTCGGGGGTTGCCTCACAGAATGCTTGGTGGAGCTGTGTGTTAGATGTTAGATGAGTGAGGTGAGGTTACCTGGCTGATGTGGACGTGCTGGTGAAGCTTTTGTTGTTTCTCCATGAAGTTGTGGTGCTGTTGCTGCAGCACGAGCTGAGCCACTGTGCTCTGCGGCAGCGGCGCCGACTGCGTCCGGTTCAGGGGTCGGTGCCGCGGTAACCTGCTGCGAGAACTCACAGACGGACGCGCCTTCAGCACCAGAGGAGACGAGGACAGCACAGGAACACTACCTGTGACTGAGAGACAGACAGACATATGAATTACACATCTGAGACGCGTAAAAATAAAAATAAAAGAAAGTAAATTTAATTTAATTGAAAAATTACACTAAATAAAAAATCTTTAATGTTTAAATGCAAGTCCAAATATTAAATGTGTTAAAAGCACATTCTATTATTATAGAATAAATAAATAATAATAAAGAATACACATACACACACACACACACACACACACATACATATATATATATATATATTAGTGTTGTCAAATGATAAATCACGATTAATCGCATCCAAAATAAAAGTTTTGGCCGAGATACAACTATTTGAAAATCTGGAATCTGAGGGTGCAAAAAAATCTAAATATTGAGAAAATCAACTTTAAAGTTGTTCAAATGAAGTTCTTAGCAATGCATATTATCAATCAAAAATTAAGTTTTAATATATTTTTGGCATAAAAGAAAAATCAATAATTTTGACCCATACAATGTATTTTTGGCTATTGCTACAAATATACCCCAGCGACTTAACACTGCTTTTGTGCTCCAGGGTCACAAATAAATACACATGCATGTATATATTTCAGAATTTTTTTTTATTTTTATATATTGTCAATAATATATGAATAATAATTCTGAATGTATTATTTAATTAATAATACATTTATAATTTATATTATTGTTATATAATTATACTAAATATTATTATTTATATATTATAATATTATATCATTAATAGTCAAATAATACTGCAGCAGACAGTATTATTTTAATATTATTGTAAAATAATACTGTGATTCTTTCCAAATCAATGAACAATAATTAACAATAAATAAATTAACACTCTATATTATCATTTTCCTTTTCATAACCTTTTCTTTCACAGACTGGATCTACATTTCAGTTTAGTGTGCTGTATGATTTTATGTAGATTTGTAATTTAAATAGTTAGCATCTTAACTGCATTTAATGAAAATAAAACAAAAATAATCAGTACACAGTAAAACTGAAATGGTGCAAAATGGAGTGATTTGCTAACAATGACAAAAATAAAATAAGGATTTAACAGACAGAAGTAGCATTACAGTAATAGTAACATAAAAAAAAAACAATAAAGTCTATATTAGGCCAAAATTACTTTCCAAATCATTATATATACTGTATATATATATATGTGTGTGTGTGTGTGAGTATAATAGTGAAAACAAAAACTTTTATTTTGTATGTGATTAATCGCGATTAATCGTTTGACAGCACTTATATATATATATTAGTGCTGACAAACGATTAATTGCTGACATAATATATGTGTGTGTTCTATGTATATTTAATATGTATATATAAATACACACACATACAGTATATATTTTGATGTGTTTACATGTCTATATTTATATTCATATAATTTATATTATAAATAAATATATTTAATACTTCATTTAATGTTTATTTTATTTCAAGTAAAGAATGTTTTTTATGGTTTTAGTTTTAGTGAACAATAGTAACTCTGGTCTGATGTTCCGTGTTTCGCTGACCTTCTGTCACTTTAAAGGGGGGGACAGCTAACCAATCACAACACATTTCGTTTTTTTCGAAAGGCGGGCCTTCATTAAAACCCAGAACTAATCGAGCCGTTTGTGCCAGCCTGGGGAGAAAGGTATTTTAATAATGTAAATTATATGAAAAATAATGCGTTTTTCGAACCACCAAGCATGAGAGCATGTTCTAGTACACCCCCAAAACAAAATCAAGACTTTGTAAAAGAGCATAATAGGACCCCTTTAAGAGAGCGAGCACTTCCTGTGCGCTCTGCTCACCAGGTGACATCATCCTCTGCTGTCTCTGCTCCTTCAGCAGGAGGTGTTGCAGGAGCGCCTGCTGCCCGTTGCTCACTTTAGCCTCCATGGAGACGGGAGACGCGGCGGCCGCGAGACCTTCTGCGCTCCGATCCTTCAGCGCCGTTCCCGTCTGAAAGAGACAGATCGCACAAACACTATTAATATTCAACCTTTTCCTATTTTTTGCATTTAGACACAAATTTCCACTCAAGCGTGAGTGAGACTTACATATGAAATATTAATAACTGTGCTTTTTTAAAACACATCCAGTCAGTGTTCGCGTCCGGTGTCCTCCATAATTTGCCCGTTATTATCGAGCCGCGTTTAGAGCTCCCTAGTGAGTAATTCAGCTATTTTAAAATGTGAAAGTGTTGAAAGTATTCGGTAAGAGTGATCCGTGTTTTGATTTTCTGGCATGTTACGCGCTTTCCTGACAGCATTTCTTTACGTTTTTAACAGCCAGTGATGAACGAGATGCTAAACTCACGCCTTGAAACCCTAAACTGAGGGCCTGTTTATCTAAGGGCAAAAGATCCCACGGGTCAGAGGTCACGAGCCCCATTAATCCACACAAGCACTCAGTGAAAGCAGAAAATGAGACGTACTCCTAAACCCTCCGCAAACAGCAGCTCATCTCTGTGAAAACACGGCTCATCTCTGCGCTCTATAACGAGGATCGTCTCAGCGCTGTCTCCTAACACGCGGCACATTCCTCATACAGTATTTTGTGCTTTCACCGCAAATAGATGCGACTCTGTGTCTCACTGTCTCCTAAAAATACCTTGCTTTTTCTGCAGGATCTATTCATATCTGTTGCGCAGCAGAAGAAGAGCCGGCGATGCTGCTTTTGTCTTTAGGCCTCATATTTCTCAGAGGTTGCTCTTTCAAAGCTCATGAGACCTTGCCTCCAGATTGTTCTCTTCTTGAACGAGCTGAAAGTTGTCTCTTTTGTCTTTAGGCCTCATATTTCTCAGAGGTTGCTCTTTCAAAGCTCATGTTGTCTCCAGATTGTTCTCTTCTTGAACGAGCTGAAAGTTGTCATACAGTAAGAGTATAGAGTTATATAATGAACGCGGAAAGCAGCAGGGTACATAGTATTTGATGAAAAATGTCTGAGCTCAAAGTGAGATCTCTGACTATTCATTGCATACTTGTGTATCTTGTGAACTCTTGAGTGCAGTTTGAGACATTAGATGCATAATTTGCGTACTTATGCACAATTCTGTGCTGTTTTGTAGGATAAACAGTGTGATTAGTGTGTTCATGCTGAAATTTCCGACAAGAAAAAGTAAAAGTGCACTTTAAATACCCAGATGATACATTTAAATATCCGAAAAATGAAGTATCAAGCTTGTCTCTGATTTTTCTCCAAACTGAATGAGCCAGTAAGAGTCTAGAGCTATAAAATGAAGGTGGAGAGCTGATGAGACATGTTTGAGGTCAGAGTGAGATCTCGGACTTTTGATTGCATACGTTTGTAGCTCTGAGCGCTGTTTGAGACATTGTTGAGATCTCGTCTGAAACTCGGTGTGAGATTATGGGGTGTTTTTTTTTTTTCAGGAGAAACATTTGAGAAGCAGGAGACTTCAGCATAAGTCTTGAGTGTGTTGCTATGCAGTTTTGGATGGTAGCTAGTGTGTTCTGAATGTTCTCTAGTGGTTTCTAGGGTGTTGCTAGGGTGTTCTATGTGATTTAGTGTGTTGCTAAGTGGTTCTGTATGATTGCTAGGGTGCTCTGAATGTTTCCTGGTGGTTGCTTGGGTGTTCTAGTGGTTGCTAGTGTGTTGTGAATGGTTTTTAGTGTTGCTATGCAGTTCTGGATGGTTGCTAGTGTTCTTAAATGTCTCTAGGGGTTGCTAAGTGGTTGCTAGGGTGTTGTGAATGGGTTTCATGAGTTACTATGCAATTCAGTATATGTTCTAAGATGTTCTGAATGTTCTCTAGTGGTTGCTATATTGTTGCTAGGATGTTGCTGGCATGCTTAGTGTAAATAGACATTAAAGAGATCTATTTTTTTTTTTCATTCCTGCAGGATCTGAGTGATTGTTGACATCTCTAGAGGAGATTAGGGGAAAATCGGAGAAACAGAAGGTTAATCTTGATGCTCTTAAGGAGAAGAAAATGTAGATGTTAATTCAGATGTAATTATATGATTATTAATTTAATTTTTAAATAATTTTAGTTTAGCTGTCGGGCTAGTTTTTGCGGTGTGTTCCACACGTCAGCAGAAGTTCGGCGAGAGAGAGCACTCTGATTGACTGTTCAGCTGCGGTTCTGCTAGCGAATCTGTGCACGAAAAAAAAAGTGAAGTGACGAAAGCAAGCAAACGACAAAGTCAAAAGGGCACACATATAAGGCTGTTCTCATTTCGCCACATTTCTCATTGCATTACGCGAATATTTGCAAATATTGCAAATACTTTAGCATCCTCATTAGCTTGCCCGCCTCCCATGCTAGAAATGCCGCTCGGGGCGGGTCGAGTAGAACCGAAGGGGTTACATGTTCAAGCGCAGCTTTTTGGCCCAGTTGCAGGCGACGTTAGGCGAGAAAACGGTCGGCTTTCATCGCCGCTAGTTCTTTGATCCTGCCTTGGTGTGTCCCGGCCTTAATGTAGTTCAGAACCACATTATATATAACAAGCATTTCGAGGTCTTTGTTTTTGTGTCTATGCAGAGTTTGATGTGTCTGTGATGGACAGGAACTTACACAGATGTGTGCGTGAGCAGGGTGCAGAGCCAGTGTGAGGTTTGGCAGAGAGGGGGATGTGTAGAGATTCAACAGGGACATGGACCCGTCCGTCTGTAGGACGCCCCCCTGAGACAGACAGCGCTGGAGGAGAGACAGACAGAAAGCATTACATCAGCTCTTACATAGCGCGGCCGAACACAAACACAGCAACAACAGTACAGCATGAGTAGTGTGCTCTGAATGTTCTTTAGAGGTTGCTAGGGTGTTGCCAGGTGGTTGTTATAGTGTCCTATGTGGCTGATAGAGTGTTGTCAGTGGTTTTCTATTGTGTAGCTGTTCTGTCCCTTAGTAGTTTCTATGTGGTTTCTAAGGTATTGTGAATGGTTTTCGTGCTATGCAGTTCTGTATGGTTGCTAGGGTGTTCTGAATGTTATCCAGTAGTTGTCAGGTGGTTTCTAGAGTGTTTTGGGTAGCTGTTCTGCACCATGTCAGTCAGTATCAGTTAACGGTGTGAGTGTTAATGATATGATGTCAGCACAGCAACAACAGTACAGCATGAGATCGAGAACATCTGAAGAAGGAGAACCAGTAGATCTCCCATATCAATGTCGTAACCTTGCGTAAGCATTTGGAGGAACAGATTTAGATATTGACACATGAACTTGCTCACTGCAGCAGTCAATCCATGTGCGTGTGTGTGTGTGTGTGTGTGTGTGTGTGTGCACGCTTTAACTAGGTGTGATGTGACAAAATCACAGCCAGAATGCATTCTAGAATTTATTAAAGTGTAAAATTAAAAGGAATGGAATTTTGGACCAATGGGATTTTCACTTTATCCCTTTAACGCTTGATGGTTTCTAGAGTATTGCTATGCAGTTGCAAGGGTGTTCTAGGTGGTGGCTAGCATATTGTAAATGTTTTAGTGTGTTGCTATGCAGTTAAGATAGTTGCTAGGGTGTTCTGAAAGTTCTCTAGTGGTTGGTAGGTGGTTGCTAGGGGGTTGCGAATGATTTTTAGGGTGTTATGAATGTTCTCTAGGTTTTGCTAGGGTGTTACCAGATAGTTTTTATAGTGTTGCTAGGGTGTTGCCAAGTGGTTGTAATAGTGTTCTATGTGGCTGCTAGGGCACTGTGAGAGAATTTTGTGTGTTGCTGGGTGGTTGCTAGGGTGTTATGAATGTTTGCCAGTGGTTGTTAGGGTGTTGCCAGGTGGTTGCTATATTGTTCTATTTGGTTGCTAGGATGTGAATGGTTTTTGTGTGTTGCTATGTAGTTCTGGGAGGTTGCTAGGGTGTTCTGAATGTTCGCTAGTGGTTGGAAGGGTGTTGCCAGGTAGTTATTATCGTGTTATATGTGGTTGCTAGGGTGTTGTCAGGTGGTTGTTATAGTGTTCTATTGGCTACTAGGATGTTGTGAATGGTTTTTGCGTGTTGCTATGTAGTTCTGGGTGGTTGCTAGGGTGTTCTGAATGTTCTCTAGGGGTTGCTAGGGTGGTATCAATTAACGGTGTGAGTGTTAATGATATGATGTCATCTTTAGGTCATAGTTTTGAAGCTCATGAAGCAGTGAAGTCTCCCGCTGTAGGGCTGTGAGGATGAACTCAGTCGGCTGTGTGCCTACAGGAGGAGAGGAGAGGAGCGTTCTGGCCCACGGCCCGTGAGGAAATGCTTGGGCAGAACTTCACAGCAGAAACAAACCTCACCATCCCAGAGCCCCTCACCCCCTTGAAACTCTGATCCACAGCTGCCGCTGTGCTGAAGACTACTAACCTGTTTGTTAAGAGAAAATTCATTCTGACTTTACAAGCAAAATATTTCACAAAAACAACAGTTCATTAAAAGGCTCAGAGAAATGCTTATGCAATATTTGTTTGCCGATTTGCCACTTGCTTTGATATTTTGTTAACCAATGTCATGACATTCAGACATTTTTATTAATACTTGTTGCCCACAATTTCGTAATTTCTCATGTGACGAGGTTAGTCATAACAGAAGCCATATAGAGGTTTTGTAGAGTGGCAAAAATTGCCTGTTTAATTTTGGTGTATATATGGGGAATAATATATATATATATGCATATATTTTGGTGGCCGAATCAAATAAAATTTACAAAAGATTAAAAAAAAAAAACACAAAAGATACAAAACACATAGAAAGCATATTAAATGCAAGTAAAGTGTCTGCTTTAATGTTTTAAATAACTTTTGTGAAAATAAAATGTCAAAACAATAAATGGGTAAAACAATGTTCCATTGTCATTCAGCATAACAGATATATTTATGTAAAAACAAAACAATATATTTATTCTGGCCTGTACTTATTAAAATATATAAATAAGTGAATAAAATACTACTACTATCTATTTTCATTGATTAAAAAGTTCTTGATGACAAATGGGTGAAACCTAATTGTTTGAAGGATAGTGGTAAATATTGGTAAAGATTTAAAATGACAATTAATTAGTTTTTAA